AGCCGTACGTGACGTGGTTACAGGATCGTCTGATGCATTATCGTTTTTAGAAATGCATCAACACCGCCGAGACATCAGCGCAAACTTTCCGGTTCGACTGCGAGCCGTACGTGCGTGGTACAGGATCGTCTGATGCATTATGTTTTTAGAAATGCATCAACACCGCCGAGACATCAGCGCAAACTTTCCGCTTCGACTGCGAGCCGTACGTGCGTGGTACAGGATCGTCTGATGCATTATGTTTTTAGAAATGCATCAACACCGCCGAGACATCAGCGCAAACTTTCCGGTTCGACTGCGAGCCGCATTCCCGCATGCTGCGCAACCTCACCCGCACAAATAAAGTGCATTCCCCAGCGCTGTTCCTCGGTCCCTCCATAGATTCGGCACCTGAACCACTCCGTATCGATGGACTGCTGTCCGGACGAAATCCTACTCGCCATTTTTTCCCTCGCCTGCGTCGATGATGGGACCACAGGCCGCGCCCTCTCCTGTGTCTCTCGCCGCGTCCATTACATCTCCGCGCCTGTGAAATACAGGTCACTGGCCGCCCGCGGTGCTGCACAAATTAACGCCCTCACCGCTCACCTTGCTGCCCGTGGCGGCGGAGAGCCCGAGCAGAACGTCGACGACCGTGTCGCACCCGTTCCGAAAGTGGAACATCTTCTTGTGTCAATGATTCCGCCCGAAACGCGGCAGACAGACGAGCCGAAGCCGGGGGGACCCAAGGGCGAGAAGGACGACTCCCGATCCGAAGAGGGCAAAGGCAGGGTTGCGAATCTGGACGTCGATTGGTACCGATGCTTCCAGCTCGAGCGCAAGAGACAGCACGAAGCTTCCGTCGCCCTCCCTGGCCTCCTCGCGCTCGTCGCCGGCACCCTCCGGACTCTCTTCGCCGACTTCTGGCCTACCTCCGACGTCGCGCTCCCGTCTCTGCCGCGTCTCGCCTCCCTCTCGCTCCCCTCCGGAGAGGCCCTTCAACACCTGCCTCCTCCCCTTCCCTCCATGACCCACCTTCACCTTACCACATCCCCGTGGGTCGTAAACACCGGACGTGGCGACGAGAACTACCTCTGGGTTGTGATTGCCAATTCGCCGATGCGTGCGACGCTCTCCCACCTTCGCCTCTCCGGCGTGAACGAATCCTCTGGCAACGTGCCCCAGTTCCTCCGCGTCCTGCTTGACTTGCCGGTTCACCCGGAAGGCGCGGGGAAAACGCCGTTCGGCGACGGGCGCGATGTTCGCTTCGCAGTCATCAGGGGCGAGCACGCGCACTTTGCTCCGGGGTCGGAGTGTGAACAGCATGCAAGACAGACGGCGGCAAACCTCCCTCAGCTGAGGAACGTCTGGATCGAGGGGAAACGGCATGTGCAGCGGGGGTGGTGTGGCACGGGTAGGGCCACACATAAGTTGCTGTTCTCCGGGATAGAGGCTCTTGTGCATCAGTCGCAGAGACGGCATGACGAGAGCAAGAGCGGAGGGAGCTTGATGATGCTCCCTATCAGAGATGGTGACTATGGGTCGGAACAGCTCATGGCGGACTGGCTGAGTTATGTTGGTGGTGGTTCCGGTCCTTGGGCCGAGCACACCTCTTGAACAGCTGCGATCATATGGAGCCCTCATCCAGCACGCATGCATCGATACTGTTTCTTTATTGCGGTGTAGGCACTGTGTCTCCTGTTGCTGCAAGCTCGGGCTTATATTGTGAATGTTCACTGGTTTCGTGTATGCATTGTCTCTCTGCAGCCTGAGGCAAATAAAGATATCACACGCTATGGAGCAGTTTGTTACTACTAGCCGACACTCTCACGGGCGTTCACTCACGTATGCTGCTGGTTATGATGTTGGCCCTTGCTGGCGGCTCCTCCTTTCCCACCAGTCCAGCATCATGCTATCGATGTTCACTGATCTCTGCACAACATGAACCGCTGCCCGGACGAACTCCTCGTCATCATATTCGCTCATGCCTGCACCGATGATGCTGTCCGCATAACTGATAACATCGTGTATCCTGACCGAAGGCATAGACATCGACTCCGCGTGCAGATACCTGTGCTCAGCACCAGCGATATGATATGCAGTGAAGCGTTCCAACTGGCTAGATCTCAGGCCTGAGGAGGACACATCTGAATGTGCATCGTTGAGACCGGAATGCGTGGGGTTGTCGTTCGAGTCCGAATCGTCATAGTAATACTCCTCGGCGGCACCCTCATCCTCGTCCTCATCCTCGCCATCGTCATCTTCATCTTCGTCTTTGTCCTCATCGTCGTCGTCATCCTTGCACCTATTTCGTCCACGTCACGTTGATGCGTAGGGGGGATCTTCAATGAAAACCGAGGCTTGATCGACACGAGCAGGTGCTATATACTACAGGCAGTCCGATGCCACCTCGTCCCCGTATCTCTGCATGTGCATATTCGTTCCTACGCTCATAAAGGTGATCGGTCAGTGCGCATAGCTCTGCGGGCCCATGGACTACGAGAGAGGGATATTTAACAAGAGCAGAGAGGCGATATGAGAGGCGGGAGACAAGCGAGAGTGCGCGGCCGGTTTGGCCACCGTCGCTGCAGGCGAAAGCAAAGATGGAGAGCAGGAGTTCGTCCGGGCAGACGTTCGTCCACATTCTGGTATGGCTCCAGTACCCTTCGGGTGGTCTGTGGTGAGAGAAGAAGGGCTATGTCTGTAGGTCCGTCCTGCCGCGTGTTTTTTCGGTTGCCGCAAGATAGAGATCACCTAAATACGAAGGCAGGATAGGTCGCAAGTACGTATATGAAATCAAGATGATTGACAGAGAGTACAGACATCTTGTAGAAGAGCAGAAGTGAGGAACGTAGAAGAGAAACACAGTGGCATAGATGACAGGTTCCTCAAGCTCGAGCTCTCAAGCCGCGAAACGACCTCCAGGCAGCGGGCTTCGACCGGATAGCACGAGCCGACTGAAAATAAAAATACACAGTAAATTGCCCAGCATCCCCGTTCACATCCCGCACTTCCGCCAACGTAATCCAACAATGCCAATAGTCTGCATCCAGGTCAGATCATGACCACAAAAACACCAATCAGGAGCAGACTTACATCTGAGAGATATAGTCAACACATTACCGGTGCGCTAACTGGCGAGGTTTGCTATGTTTGCGACTCAAAGGTCGGGACCCTCCGTCCAAGGACCCGGGCCACCATGCACATAGCTCAACCAATCCTCCAAAAGCTGCTCCGACCCGTATTCGCCATCCCTGACGGGAAGCATCACCACTCTTCCCACATCGTCCCGTCGTTGTGACTGCCGTGCAACGGCCTGAATTTCGAATATAACCGCGCCATGCAAAAGACTATTGGTGCCGCACCATCCCCGGTTCACATACTGCCGCCCCTCAATCCACACGTTCTTCAGCTTTGACAGCTTCGAAGCCGTCTCCCTTGCGTGTTCCTCGTCCTCCGAGCCCGGAGGAAAGTGCGCGTGCGCGTTCAACAAAGCCGGCGAGATGCAACGCACTTGCCCACTACTGAGGTCCACCAACTCGCGAGGGCCTTCCGGAACGACCGGTACGTCAAGCAGGACGCAGAGGAACTGGGCCACATCACCGAATTGTACGCCGGAAATGCGAAGGTGGGAGAGCGTCCCGTGCATAGGCGAGGCGGCAAGCATGTCCCAAAATGGTTGACGACCACTGTGGGCTCGCGCGCTGTCGACCTGCGAGCAGGATGTCAAGTGGAGGCGGGAAACAGAGGGTAGGGGCGAAGGCAGGCGCAGCATGGACTCAACGGACGGGAGCGAAAGGGTGGCGAGGCGTGGTAGAGATGGCAGCAATGCGTCTGATTTGGGACAAAAGTCGGTAAACAGAGTGCGGAGGGTGGGCGCGACGACGGCGAGGAGGGGAGTCAGGGCGTTTGCAGCTTCTTGAGCTCTGTTGTGTTCAAGGACCTTCGGGACATCCTCATTGCTAGAATCTGTACCTTCGCCTGTTCCTTTATCATCTGAGGCACCATTACCTTCGTTCTTGGGTTGGGAGGTTACCGCAACCTTCGATGCCGACTCATCTGCCTCCACCTTCTCCGGTGGATTCATCGACAAAAGAAGATGCTCGACTTTCGGAACGTTCTGCTCGAAGTCTCCATCGTCGGGAGAAGCGAGGTGAGCGACGAGTGCGTTCATTTGCGCAGCACCACGGACGGCGAGGGATCTGTACTTCACCAGCGCCGAGACGCGACGGATGCGGTGAGAGACACCGGAGAGGGAGCGGCCGGTAAAACCATCATCGGCGCAGGAAATGGTAAAGATTGCAAGCAGGACTTCGTCGGGACAGCGGTCCATCAGTATGGTGGTGGTCGTGGGCATAGATGATGATTGAAAACATCATGGTGAGGCACGTTATGTACGCGGGTGGTACTGCGCACGAATTGACAACGGCATTCGGTCCGGCGGGTACGGGGTGGTTTAGATTGGGTCTCGGCCTACGTTTTACGAGCGTATTGATCGTGAGAGCGGAGGTGCGCGCTCAGTAGCGGGAATGACGAATTTGTTCCTTGAAGCCTTCAATGCGAACCAGAGGTAGCGGCTGGAACACCAGAATGTATATACGTATGGGAGCGAGTGCCTTGACACCGTGCACCGAGGCTGAGCGCTGAGCAGTGGGGACATCGCTGTGAATGCACAAAGTTCTTTCAGTTCGCGCGCCAGTTTCGAGGCATGAAGCAACGCACATCAAGTTCCGGGTGGAAACGGCGAAGACACGAGACGACGTATGCTCATGAAAGAAGTCCAAGTCATGGCTGTGCTGCGAATCCACAGGCGGATACCGATTTGAAGTCGTTGCAATTGTGAACGTTGACGACGTGGATGCGGACATACTTATCGCTATTCTGCCCCTTCGTCGCCATTCGTGCTCATTCGATGAGTCAGTGGAAATACACAGTAAAAATCCCAGCATTTCCGTTCACTTCCTCCAGCGCAGCCCAGCAATCCTTCTCCAGCCGCACCACCCTGTAGTTCGCGCGTTTCATAGACAATGCCGACAGTCTGGATCCAGGTTAGATTATGACCCAAAGATCCATCTGGAGAACACTCACATCTGAGAGATCTAAGTCATCACATTTCCGGTGCGTTGACTGTAGGATTTTGCGATGTTTACGGTTTAACTGTCGGGACCCTCCGTCCACGGACCTGAGCCACCACCCACGTAGCTCAGCCAATCTTCCAAAAGCTGCTCCGACCCGTAGTTGCCGTCCCTGATAGGGAGCATCACGAGCCTGCCTGCATCATTCCGTCTTTGCGCCTCCCGTGCAACCGCCCAAAGTCCGGAGAAGGCCGCGCTGTGCGCGAAACCGTTGGTGCCGCACCCTCCCCCGTTTACATACCGCTGCCCCTCAATCCACACATTCTTCAGCTTCGGCAGCTTCGCAGCCGTCTCCATCGCGCGTTGCTCCTTATCCGAGCCCGGAGGAAAGTGCGCGTACGCGCCCATGACGGGCGCGACGCGAACCATGTGCCCACCGCCGAGGTCCACCAACTTGCGAGGGCCTTCCGGGTCGACCGGTACGTCGAGCAGTATACGGAGGAACTCGGCAGCATTGCCGAATTGCACACCCGAAATGCGGAGGTGGGATAGCGTCCCGTGTATAGGCGAGGCGGCAAGCGTTTCCCAGAATTCTTGATAGCTCCTGCGGGGTCGCGCGCTAGAGACCCGCGAGCAGGCGGTTAGGTGGAGGCGGGTGAGGGAGGGAAGGGGCGAAGGCAGGCGCAGCACTGTCCCAACGCGCGGGAGCGAAAGGGTGCCGAGGCGGGGCAGAGATGGAAGCGATGCGTCTGGATGAGGCCAGAAGTCGGTAAACAGAGTTCGGAGGGTCGGCGCGACGAGGGCGAGGAGGGGAGTAAGGGCGTCTGCAGCTTCCCGCAACCTCTTGCGCTCAAGGACCTCTGTTGTATCATCTTCGTCGCTAGAGTCCGTAGCTTCGCTTTTCCCTTCTTCGTCTCGGTTACCGTCATCCTCGGCCTTGGGTTGGGAGGTCACCGCAGCGTTCAGTGGCGAATCATCCGCCTCCACCTTTTCAGGTGGATTCATCGACAAGAGAAGATGTTCGACTTTCGGAACTGCTGTAGTGGAACATTTGACGTTCTGCTTATGCTCTCCGTCGTCGGGAGGAGCGAGGCGGGTGGCGAGTGCGTTCATCTGCACAGCACCATGGACGGCGAGGGACTTGTACTTCACGGCGGCCGAGACGCGATGGATGCGGCGAGAGACGCCCGAGAGAGAGCGACCGGTAGTACCATCATCGGCGCAGGAGAGGGTAAAGATTGCAAGCAGGACTTCGTCGGGACAACGGTCCATCGGTATGGTGGTGGTCGTGGAGATCGATGTCGATTGAGAACATCATGACGATGCACGTTATCTAGGCGGGTGGTACTGACTCAGACTGCGCCGGAAGTGACACTGCATTCGGTCCGGCGGGAACGGGGTGGTTTAGATTGAGTCTCGGCCTAGGTTATAACGAGTACATATCGATCGTGAGAGTGGAGGTGCGCGCTCAGCAGCGGGAATGGCGAATGTGTTCATTCAATGGCTGCAGCTGGAACGCCAGGATGTATACAATGTGTGAGAAACTGTCTTGAGACCGAGCGCCGAGGCTGAGCAGTGCGAACGGCGCCTCGAACGGAGAGGTTCTTTCAGTTCGTTTGCTAGTTTCGAGGCATTACTGGTAGAAACACGAGATGACGTAAGGAAGAGATGGCTAGAATGCGAGGCGGATCTGATGTACTCGTGTTGGCAATGTGGATGAGGACACCAATATTTCATCCCTTCGCGTCGCTATTCGCACTCGTTCAGAGTCCTCCGCCCGGAGTTCATGGTCATCGCCCAAAGGAGTTTCAGCCGGGGCCTGGTGCGGGACGCACACAATATGCGCGAGAGAGAAACGCAAGTTCTGAAGCAAGTCGGCGCACGCGACTGCAGCTCCTCAGAAAACTTCCTCCAGATCGCCAGTCCGATTCTATCCGGCGAACGCAAGTATTTTTTACATTAACCTAGTGATTAGCATGATACAATAACGTTTTTTCCTGTAGTCCATCGTCGTCGCTCCATATGGTTGACTACTCTGGTCGTGCCGCGCTGCGGGTTCCTGGATCCATGAAAGTCGATAGATGAACCTTCAGTCTCAGTCATATCTAACCAGGATCCCTCGTCAGCGTCTACGATCCTCAACGCCTACAGAGACTCTGGTTCACTCACATTCTGGCATCCCAAACCCGAGGATCAAAGAGCGAGACGAAACGAAACCAAGAAAACTCGTCAGCCACGCCATTCGCAAAGCCTGAACAAAGTTGAGAATCGACACTCACCCGAGCACGGCCATCATCCCTGCACCAAGGAGCAAGCTCGCGAGCGCGAGCGCCTGACGCCCGAGCCCGCTTCTCCACAGCAGGGGGTCCATCACGAAGTCGCCCGCGAGCATCTCCACGCACGCAGCGTAAATCAGCATACCCGCCGAAACCGCGGACATGATGCCCTGCCACAGCCTCATTCCAGCTGCACCCAGAAGCGAAAAGAAGTATATGTCAATATAACGGAGGACGAGTTCGGAAGAAGCGGTGCGTACAGCCCATGGTCCCACTCCCAAACGCAAGGAGCCCGCTGCCCACGCCGACTGGCACCGTGATAGCGAAAAGGACAGCCAGCGTAGGCTTCAGTAGCCTTCCAAGCCTGTCCCGGCCCGCCTTTTCGAACGACGCTCGCGCGGGCGATGGCAGGGAAGCGATGCGAATGCCGAGCGAGAGCCCCTCGAAAAGCTGGTGGAACGCTACGGCGATGAGCAGCGACGCGAACTCGGGCCCGGAGGTGATAGAGAGCGTAACGCCGATGATCGACGAGTGCATCATGATGCCTAATTGCAAGACCTATGCGCGTCCCTCGTGAGCCTCCTTGCACCAACACATCGTAACGATGGGACGACTCACCAAGATGCTGACGACCTGTCGCTTGCGGATTGCAGCGGCTTGCGCCGGCGATATCGGGTGGTCGTCGCCTTCGTGTGCGTGTTCGTGTTCGTGCTCGTGCTCCCTCGCATGGTCACAGTCCAGCTCGTCCAGTGGCCTATCCTGCTCGTCCTCCTCCTCCTCTGTCTCCTCCAGTCCGTGCGCGTGGTGCCCGACGCCCTCGCCGTGCCGATGCACATGCCCGACGCCGACGATATGCCCCTGACCAAACTCCTCCGGGCCATAACTCACGGGTCGCCTGTCCTTGGCGCCCTTGGCGGTCCTGATCGTGCCCGCCAGGGCCGAGTCCAGCGACGGGCGTGCATGCGTGTGCGCGTGCGAATGCGAGTGGGCGTCGGCTTCGGGGACGGCTCCGAGGTCGACGGTGAACGCGCCCGGGCCGGTGTAGGCGGTGACGACCGACGAGTTTTGCGTGCGCGTGCGCGGCATCCGACCGTGATGTAAGGCATGCTCTTCGCGGCTCTCGTGCCGGTGGTGCCCCTCCAGGACGTGGTAGGCGTACGGCTCCGGGCCCGGCGCCGCGGGTGGGAGTGCGGGTGCGGAGTCTGCGGGGTGGTAGTGCGAGTAGGACAGCTGCCGGCGCGCGCTGCGGCCGTCGTACTGCGGGAGCGTGTTCGCGTTGTGGGAGGACTGGGTCGTGAGGGGAAGCAGGGGTGCGCGCTCCGAGGGCACGGTGCCGTCGACGCGGTCGGCATCCTTGGAGCGGTTTCTCGAATGCGGGTGGGAGTGAGAGTGGGAGCGAGAGTGAGCGTGCGCATGATCGAGGTGGTCGTGGCCGTACTCGGGATCGGGGTCGTCGGCGTTCATTTGGTCTACATACGATGTCGATATGTCTGCAGATGACGACTATCAGCACACATGAATGAAGATGAAACACGTTGCGCTAACATTCAACGAGGAATATCGATATCAAAGATGCGAGGCTAATCCAATCCGAGTAAGCACCGATGTTCGTCAATATGGAAGGATAACGCGCACACGATAATCCCAACCCAATCCCCGATGTCGCTGACTTTCTTCGTCTCCGGATCAAGGAGCACCTCGAACGCGTCCTGCAGCATATGTACAAACGCGGTCGAGAGAATGACGCCGGTCCCGAAGTGCTTTCCGATGAAGAACACCACCTTCGGTATTCGGAGGAAGGATACCTTCTTGGACAGCGTCGGGAAGGACACGGCTGATCGCCACGTTCAATTGTAAGCCCGAGAACGAGAGCATAGTCACAGTGAGGACACGCGTACCGAAGAGGGAGATGGAGAATATAATCCCCATTGCACCAAGGCGTCTCCGCAAATCGGCCGTCCGATCGGACCCGTCGGACCATTCCAAGGTCGCGGGCGTCATCTTGTCCGTGATATTTAGTTTCGCCTTACGTCCTCCCAAGGACGACGAGCGTAGGGACACAGCAGTCCCAGTGTGGCCGGGGCAGAAGGGAGAAGTGCCCCACGCGACCGACGCGGTCCTCGGCCTCCTGCGAGGTTCGAGCGGAGCTCGAAATATTTATGAAGCGCTCGGCCAATCCCAACGCTCGTTTTACAAGCTGTAACCTGCCCGACCATTCTTCCAATCCCCAGGGACTACATATCCATGCCCACTGCGAGCGATAAGGCACCGCTCTCGAGTGTTCTGCCATTCGCGGCGTACTCACCGCGGCGGTGTACTCACGGAAGGACAGCACGAGCATGTCGGCGCAATAGGACTTACGTAGGCTCCTGATCATGAGGCGTAAAAGCTCTCTCAGGACAAGCCTAGCCGTTGAAAATGCCGAGATGTCCAGGGTAACGTTCAAAACACAAAAGGACAGCATCAGAACTAGCGCGGATGATGGCCTCCATACCAACCGTCCGCTCAATTACAGTCGTTTCGTCTATATATGATCGCGTGAGTACACTTCGCATCTATAGATGTATACATCCCGCATGCGTTCCGGTCGTTGGCGGCGCCATCATTGCCGCGCTGCGAGCGCCGCCAATAATATGTCATAATCGATTTTGGCAGCTGCCGACGGTTCTGTTAGTCACCTTACACGACGTTATGGAAGACAATGTCGACTCACTCTTGAGCACGAGCCTCATAAACGCCCGTCCGAGCTCCGGCCTCTCCTCAAGCAGCGTCGCCAACCTCTCCGTGCTCAACCTCCACACCACCGCCGCGCGCTCCACCACCACGGTCGCGTTGCGCGGCTCGCCGCTGAGCGCGCTCAGCTCACCCGCGAGCGTCCCCGGCACCATGCTCTCCTCCACCGGCGGCGCGTGCCCCGCGAACCGGTAGCTCGCGCGCAGCACGCCCTCCTGGACGAGGTACAGCGCGTCAGAGGGATCGCCCTGCCGAAAGAGCACCTCGCCCTCGGGCAACGCGAGCCGCTCGAGGTACGCCGCGAGCGGCGCAAACAGCGCGCGGTCGAGCGGCCCGTGCGCGGCGAAGGCCTTCTCGAGCGTCGAGAGCGGCTCTGGCACATTGGCGTCTATGTCCTGGTCGACGGGACGGTCGATCGTATAATCTGGCACAGAGAGGTGAGAGGTTGTAGATGCGACGTGGTCCGTGGTGACAATCTAACCTTGCGCGATGGTCCGCCAGCCGGCATCGCGGATATGACTCCGGCGGGGGGTGGCGGACAGCGAACCTTGAAGAACGTCGTCGGTGTCTTGTCGTCCTGGTAGAACTGTACGGCGCGATCAGAGTCGTCACGGAAGGGAAACCTCATCTGTCCCTCACCGATGGCCGGTGTCTCAACCTTGTGCGACACAAACCACGTCCTCAAGTACGCGTTTTCGGTCCCTAAAACGATCTTCGTGAGCCGGCACAGACCCTCGCAGACGATACGGGCGGTGATTCACTACTCACACTCCAGCGCGTCGTTCACGTTCCCGAACAGCCGCACGCCCTCCGCCTCGAACAGACCCACGCTCGCGAGCGACGTCTCGACCGCGCCGCGGGGGATTCCGCACAGGCACAGGCTGACGGCCTTCGCGCGCAGGACCCGATGCACGCGCACGAACGCCTCCGCGGCGGACATGTCGACGCCCGCGACGAGCGAAAAGTCGACGACGAGGAAGCGCACCGGCGCGCGCTGCCACGCCGGGCCGTCCACGAGCGCGCGGATCGTCTCCTCGACGTGAGTGATCGTGCCGAAGAACAGGAAACCTGGGATCAATAACAGCGGGTTCAGCTCCGACTTTTACGCGCGTATGCGGAACGAAGGAGGGTGGGGAGGGGGAGACGAACCTTGCAGTTGCATGATCGTCGTCTGCTTCGACACCTCTCGGATGTACTCCCGGTGGCTGCTCGGCCTACGTACGGTCGACATCACCGTCTCGCCGGTGTAGAGCGCGCGTATGCTGCGCCTCTGCGAGTTTTGCACGACGAAGAAAAAACAGGAGACGACGATGCCGAAGAAGACGCCGATGACGAAGTCCCAGACGGTCATCGCGACCATGATGCTCGCGATGGTGATGTACTCCATCCTGAACGACGTTCAACGTACGGCGGGACCGCGAGCAGAGAATACCGTACCTGCTGACGCGATGCCGTGTGTCCCAGAGCGCTTCTTTGACAAGGTCGATGCCGAGGACGAAGATGAGAGCGCCGACGACCATGACCGCTATGTGAGGGTTAAAACATCAGTCGCGCGCGTACGTTCAGCGGACGGAGAGAACCTACGCAAGTACGCGATGGGGCCGGTACCGATCACGAGCAGTATCGCGGTCGCGAGTGCGAGGAGGAACCCGGATATACGCGTGTCGCCGCCCACGCGATAGAATCTGCATCGAGCATCGTCAGGTCCAATTCTCTGAGGCGCACTAAAAGGACGTACAGCAAGGTGTTGACATAGACGAGGTAATTAGGGCTATGCGAGGAGATCAGCACGCACGCGCGAAAGCAAAGAGAGTGTGTGTGTGACCACGCACACAGTTCCCAACAGCCCGGCGAGCACGTTCGAGTACCCGTGCGCAACGAGCTCCTTGTTCGTATCCACATCCTCGTTGAGCGACACGGCTATGACCGCCCTCAGCACGTCGACTTCACCCGCAAAGCGGGACACGTACCCAAAGCCGGCACGTTCAACGGCGGATGCAATATATTGAAGAACAATCTACCGCGCTCGATTGCATCAACACTCGGCCGTCGTCACGGGGCGCATACGGAGCGCACACTCACAATGCGAATTGCGTGGGCAGGGTGGACCACAACGGGCCCCACCGCGTCGCGTTCCAGTCTGCAGGCCCCCGCCCCCTCCACGGTCAACATTCCGGACCGAAGCGAGGATAGACGACGAAATTTGACGAATGAATAAAACCCACCGTAGAGCGTGTAGAACCGGTACCACTTTTCGCCCGACGGACCCTTCTCGAATATCCAGCCGGCTCGCCGGAGGTGGTCGAGATCGAGCCCGGCGACGAGGACGACAAAGTAGAACACCAGCGGAATCACGATGAAATCTGTTTTTTTTTCCCCCCGCAGTACGATTTTTTATTTTTTATTTAATTTTGGTTCATGAGCATTCCACCAGAGAGGCGAAGGAGGGGGGGCAAATCGGTGAAAGGGGGAAAGACGTACAGAGCGGGAATACGAGCTGGTGGTGCCACCGGTGGGTGATCGCCCTGAGTACGGCGGCGAGCGCGAACGCGGGGACCCACAGCAGGAGGTTGTGCGCGTTCAGGCAGAGGGCCTCGAACGTCGCCCAGTCGAGCGCGAAATCATCGTCCGCCATGCGCGTGCTGACCGTCAGCCTGCGTACGAGAGGGGGAAAAAAAATCAGAAATCAGCGTCCCACAACGGGCGACCAAAGCGAGTGAGAGAGAGAGAGAGAGCGCACCCGGTGATGATGAGGAACACGCCCACGCCGCCGATGCATCCGACGAGGATGTGCCTCGGAAAGAAGCCGATAAGCGTGCCCATCCTCATCGCGCCGAGCGCAAAAAACGCCACGCCCGTCATCGCGCTCGACAGCGCGTACGCCACCAACGTCGTCGCCACGACCTCCCTCGCCCCTCCGCCGGCCGCGCCCACCTCGCGCTCGATCCTGCCCGCGAGCACGTGAAAGAACGGGACGACCTCGATCATCATGCTCCCGTTCGCGCCCCTGAACCCGCTCCCGCCGGCGGAGTAGACGAGCTGGGCGGCGAGGGCGGAGACGAAGAACATGGAGACGCCGGCGCCGCCGAGCGCGTGGGACGCGAAGACGCCCGAGGCGGGGAAGATGATCATCCCGTACGAGACGCCGTCGAGGACGTTGAGGAGCGTGCCGAGGACCACGGCCGGGAGCGCGCGCGCGGCCGCGGCCACGTTCTCCTTCGAGACGGCGCGAGAGAGCAGCGTTTTGAGCGCGGGGCCGAGCGGTTTTTTGCTCGCGGACGAGGACGACGAGGACGACGAGGACGAGGACGAGGACGCGTGCCCGTTCGAGAGGGCGTTGTACGACGGCAGACCCGGGTACTCGTTCACGCGCAGCAGCGGGGCCGTCTCGCCCTCGCCGTTCGCGTCCTCCGGCGGCAGATCGCGCGGGCGCACCGGGCGCGGCGTCGGCTCGCCCGACCCGCCTTCGTCCTCCGCGAGATCCGGGAAGGCGCGGCGGGGGTGCTCGGCGGTGGGCGTGGGGTCGTACGAGCGCGGGGAGTCGACCGGCGAGGGCGAGGAGGGCGCGGTCGGGGGGTGCTGCGCCATGAGGAGGGAGAGGCCGGAGGGTCTGGTCCGGGCGCGGCGGCGGGAGGAGGGGGCGTGGGTGGAGGGGAGGGTCGAGGTCGAGTCGGCGAGGGGGTCGGAGGTGGCGGTGGTTAGGGTGTCTTCGTCGGAGGAGGAGGACGCGGAGAGCGCGAGAGAGGCGGCGCTGGAGGACGGCTGGGAGGCGGGCGTGGGGAAGACGAAGGAGTGCTGGTGTTCGACGCGGGGAGGCGCGGGGGCGGGGACCGCGGTGGGGAGAGGAGCGGGCGGAGGGCTGTTTTCCGGGATCGGGGCGGGTGTGGAGACGGCGCTCCCGGGCTGCTTGAGGATGGACGGAGAGCCGTGGGCGGTCGTGTGCTTGAAGGGCGAGAGAGAGGGCGAGTAGGAGGAGGGGAGGGGGAGCGCGGAGAGCTGCATCGTGCTTGCGCGGATGTCGCCTTGGGAGGTGGGCGTGGCGCCGAGCCGAGGGATGTGCGGCGGGAGGTGGATGGTGGAGGCGTACGAGCGCGAAGGTAGCAGGCTGGGACACGGGCGATGGTCAGGACGAGGTCATGATGGTCACGATGGAACGGCGCAAGTTTTGAATCTGAATGGGTAACGTATACGAGGGGAAGAAGGGGGCGGTATAGGTCCGCGGAAGTTGCGATGCATGAATCGACTTGGTCGCTCCATCGAAACGCTAACGTTGGCGTGCACGAGAGAAAGAAGTCAGGAGAAAGAGGTCATGCAGCACCGCAAAGGCGTAAGATGTGAAGCGCCGACACGCGCGAGTGAGACGGGGTATGCTCGGCGCGGACACGAGGCGGACGAACGTGATGCCGGGTCGCGATGGCGGGACGCGCAGGGTCGGACAAGGTCAAAAGGCTATAGGCTGAACGCGCCGCCCACTCAGGAACGCAGACACAAAAGGTCGGAAAAGAAGGAGGGAAGGACGATCATAACACTCGACGAGAAATGGAAGGGCGATGTGATTATCGCGTGATCGTGCATATTACGTGTTGAACATGGGAGGGGGGGGGGGGGGGGGACAGTAGA